TGTTCACAGCCACCTGTGTGGGAAGGGAGAGCGATAGGAGGGGAGGTGAAGGAGCAGAGGGGAGGTGAAGCAGCAGAGGGGAGGTGAAGGAGCAGAGGGGAGGTGAAGGAGCAGAGGGGCGCCTAATCAGTGCTGTTCCCCTGTTATTGATCATTTAGAAAATGCCTACTAGAAAAACATTTTTTCTACAGAGGGTTTTGACGCCCCCTGCAGTGCAGCGCCCCTATGCGTTGCATACGCTGCATACCCGCTTTTTGCGCCACTGATGAGAGGCTATGGGGGGTTCAGTGTCTTGCCCAGGGACACTTCAGCATGTGACTGCTGGTGGATTCGAACCCCCAACTCTCACATTGTAGGACGACTGCTCTAACCACTCAGCCACAGCCTCCCCCGTGTCTGTGTTGGTTTTTGCCATGAACTTAGCAGATGTTTAAAATCTCCTAGAAAGGTTAAGTCAACAAGTTCAGATCTTTTTGTAAGGTGTTCCAGGAAACAGGAGCAGAGTAAGAGAAGACCCTTTTGCCAAGTTCGGTCTGAGGTGACACTGCAGGTAATTATGTCCTGAGAGCGCACGCTGTAGCTGCACTGATGATGTGACATGTGGGAGGAGATAAATAGCTGCTCCTCCTGGGTGTAGCTGGGTTCAATGCAGAGCACATATTTCATCATTGTACGAAACATACAATGATGACAACAAGAGCACTTTCTTTAAAGCTAAAACTTTATTGGACTCAGTTTTGTCAGACCAGAAAGAACGATTCAACAGCACGCTCAAGTGCCCAGCAAACAAATATCTCATTTCTCTTTATTTAACTAACACATTTTGTTTAAATCATGCCTGCTGATCTTCCTTAAGAAAGTTGACCCTTAAAAATGCTGTGATCATTTTGTGTTTTCTTTCTCTTTTCAGCTGACAACAAGCTCATTCTAAATCATACACAAACTAAAGTTTCTTTATGTTTAAAGGTCTGTTAATGATCCCACATTTTAAAATGCTTATAAGTTCTCTCACAATGAAAAGTCTTTCACAATGAAAAGTGTCTTTCACTCATTACTTTGTGCAATGAAAGCAAATTTTTCTTTATATATCAGTAATGTAACTCAAGATATCCTGATGCATGCTCAATAATCCAGGTAGAAAAATCTAAAAAAGTTAAATCTGGTCCTCTGGACATTAAAAAAAAACAAAACAAAGCAAAACAACAAAAAATGTAGAAACGTTTCGTCTCTCGTCCGAGAGACTTCCTCAGTCTGAGGTGCTGTATTCAGCTCAGTCTCTTAAATAGCACCTTCTCAGAGTGGATCAACCAGTTTTGCTGCTGACAACCAAAACCAGCTGATCACATGCTCAAGAAGGACCAGTGTGCTAATGATCCATTGTTAGGCTGATGGTCCTTCTTGAGCATGTGATCAGCTGGTTTTCAATGGGATTTACCTGTCTAAATAAAGGTTGAATGAATTTGACTGATCGTTAGGAAAAGTTCACGCCTTTATTTTGAATACGGTTGCTGTGACTGGATGAAAACTTTCATAATATACACCCAGTCTGAAGTTAAAACAAGACACACTCCAACATTTTTCAGTCAGGTCATCTGGACAATTTCTTTTTTGTGTGCTGAAACGTTTCACCTTCCATCCAGAAGGCTTCATCAGTCAAGGAAACACACAACACAAAACTGATTCTTCCCCCAAACAGCTTACGCCAAAGTGGAACAAACCAGTTATGTTGGTGCTAAGATGGTGTCTTTGGCACGCCCCCTCCTCCGTTGCCGGCCCTCTTCCTCATCAACAGTCATGTCAAACTGGTTCAAAACAACAAAATCCATGCTCAGTAATCCAGGTTTAAATCCTATAATGTTTAGTCAGGTCATCTGGACGGGTTCTTTTGTTGCTGAGACGTTTCATCCTTCATCCAAAGGACTTCTTCAATCTGAGGAGCCACCTCAAATGTCAAATTCAACTCAGTTGGCTCTGAGATGGACTGGAAACCTGCCCAGAATATCCCCCGCCTCTCACACAGTGACTGCTGGATATGGGCACCAGTGACCCCCGTGACTCGAAAAGGAAGAAGCGGTTAAAGATAATGGATGGATGGATGGACCAACTCAATTGTGCATGTTTTAAAATAATTGTGATTAATTATAAAAAAAGAATTCTTGTTTGGGGTTGATTTATTTCAGACTAATTACATTTATAAGTCTCTCAAAAAAAAGAGGGTGGTGTCCCAAGGAGATAAACGGTAAAATCCATCCATCCATCCATTTTCTTCAGCTTATCCGGGGTCGGGTCACAGGGGTAGCAGCTAAGTAGGGAGGCCCTCTCCCTAGCCACTTGGGCCAGCTCTTCCGGGGAAATCCCGAGGCATTCCCAGGCCAGCCGAGAAACATAGTCCCTCCAGCGTGTCCTGGGTCTTCCTCTGGGCCTCCTCCCGGTGGGACGTGTCCAGAACACCTCACCAGGGAGGCGTCCAGGATGCATCCTAAACAGATGCCCAAGCCACCTCAACTGGCTCCTCTCGACGTGGAGAAGCAGCGGCTCTACTCTGAGTCCCTCCCGGATGATCGAGCTTCTCACCCTATCTCTAAGGGAGAGTCCAGACACCCTGCGAAGAAAACTCATTTTGGCCGCTTGTATCCGAGATCTCATTCTTTCGGTCACAACCCAAAGCTTGTGACCGTAGATGAGGGTAGGAACGTAGATCGATCAGTAAATTGAGAGCTTTGCCTTTTGACTCTGCCTGCTTCACTGCAGACGCTGCACCTATCCGCCTATCGATCTCACGCTCCATTTTTCCCTCATTCGTGAACAAGAACCCAAGATAATTGAACTCCTCCACTTGGGGTAGGACCACCTCCCTGACTCGGAGAGGGCACTCTACCCTTTTCCGGCTCAAGACCATGGCCTCGGATTTGGAGGAACTGATCTTCATCCCGGCCGTGTCGCGTTCGGCTACAAACCCCTCCAGCAAAAGCTGTAGATCATGATTTGATGAAGCCAATAAGACCACATCATCTGCAAAAAGCAGAGACGCAATCCTAAGGCCACCAAAACGGATCCCCTCAACACCTTGGCTGCGCCTAGAAATTCTGTCCATAAAAGTTATGAACAAAATTGGTGACAAAGGGCGACCTTGGCAGTGTCCAACTCTCAACGGGAACAAGCCTGACTTACTGCTGGCGATGCGGACCAGGCTCTGACACCGGTCATACAGGGACCTAACAGCCTGTATCAAAGGGCCCGGTAACCCATACTCCCAGAGTACCCCCCACAGGGTTCCCACAGGGTTCCCAGAGGGACGCGGTCGAACGCCTTCTCCAAGTCCACAAAGCACATGTAGACTGATTGGGCAAACTCCCACGCACCCTCCAGGACCCTGCTGAGAGTGTAGAGCTGGTCCAGTGTTCCACGGCCAGGACGAAAACCGCACTGCTCCTCCTGAATCCGAGGTTCGACTATCTGATGGACCCTCCTCTCCAGAACCCCCAAATTGACCTTACCAGGGAGGCTTATGAGCGTGATTCCCCTGTAGTTGGAACACACTCTACGTTCCCCCTTTTTGAATAGGGAGACCACCACCCCGGTCTGCCAATCCAGAGGAACTTCCCCCGATGTCCACGCAATATTGCAGAGTCGCGTAAGCCAACACAACCCTGCAACATCCAGAGCCTTAAGGAACTCCAGGCGAATCTCATCCACCCCTGGGGCCCTGCCACCGAGGAGCTTTTTAACCACCTCGGTGACCTCAGCACCAGAGATTGGAGGGCCCGACGCAGAGTCCCCAGGCTCCGTTTCCTCAGTGGAATACGTGCCGGTGGGATTGAGGAGGTCTTCAAAGTATTCCGCCCACCGAGTTGAGGTCAGCAGCATACCACTCCCACTATAAACAGTGTTGGTGGCATACCTCTTTCCCCCACTGAGATACCGGATGGTGGTCCAAAATCGCCTAGAAGCCGTGCGGAAGTCATTCTCCATGACCTCTCCGAACTCCTCCCATGCCCGAGTTTTTGCCTCAGCGACCACCCAAGCCGCATGTCGCTTGGACTGCCAGTACCCATCAGCTGCTTCCGGGGTTCCACAGGCCAAAAAGGCCCGATAGGACTCCTTCTTCAGCCTGACAGCATCCCTCACCGACGGTGTCCACCATCGGGTTCGAGGGTTGCCGCCACAACAGGCACGACAACCTTGCGGCTCCGGTAAGCTGCCTCGACAATAGAGGCATGAAACATGGTCCACTCAGACTCAATGTACCCCACCTCCCCCGGAACATGTTCGAAGTTCTCCCGGAGGTGGGAGTTAAAACTCCGTCTCACAGGAGACTCTGCCAGACGTTCCCAGCATACCCTCACAATACGTTTGGGTCTGCCAGGTCTGACCGGCATCCTCCCCCACCATCGAAGCCAACTCACCACCAGGTAGTGATCAGTGGACAGCTCCGCCCCTCTCTTCACCCGAGTGTCCAAGACATGTGGCCGCAGATCAGATGAGACGATGACAAAGTCGATCATCGAACTGCGGCCTAGGGTGTCCTGGTGCCAAGAGCAATATGGACACCCTTATGCTTGAACAAGGTGTTCGTTATTGACAATCCATGACGAGCACAGAAGTCCAACAACAGAACACCACTCGGGTTCAGATCAGGGGGGCCATTCCTCCCAACCACACCCCCTATGTAAAATTCATAATGACCTAATTATCCATTTATAGTCTAATACCTATTAATATAATGCTACACCAGGCTTAATTGCTGCAGTGGGCTTCTTTGGAATCAGTCGGAACTCCATTTGCACGTGAGCAACTGGTTCTAAAAGCTACAGCCTGATTTTTAACTGGTCTTTACCAGGTTAAAAAAATAGAGCATAATTCTCAGATTTTGGCTTCCCTTCACTGGCTCCCGGTTCACTTTCAAATTCATTTTAAAATCCTTCTGTATGTTTTTAAATCTCTGAACAGTTCTGTCCCCACCTATCTCACTGATCTGCTGCAGCCATATGTCCCACTGCGATCTCTGAGTTCAGATCAGATGTTTTTATTGGTTCCAGGCACTTGTTTTAATCTCAGAGGTGACAGAACCTTCTCTGTTGCAGGTCCAAAACTGGAATGAGTTACCACTACATGCCAGACAGACTCTATCTCTTACTGTTTTTAAATCTTGTCTAAAAACTCTCTTGTATTCCCTGGCTTTTGACAATCACAGACAATTAGCCTAACATGCATGTTTTTGGTCTGTGGGAGGAAACGGGAGTACCCGGAAAACCTATGTGTGCACGGAGGAGAGAACATGCAAACTCCACCCAGAAAGAGCTCAAATATCCAACGTCCAACATAAAACTAACTTTACCGCGGTTCGATCTGGCGACTTTCTCACTGAGAGACAACAGCTCTACCAACTGAGCCACTGTGTTGCCCAGAAGTTCAAGTCAGAACCTTACAGATCTGTTTATGCACTAAAGAGATGAATCAGTCTGAAGATGCTAGTCTTACCTGAACAGTGAGCAGGACTGGGTTGTGGCCAGGACCTCCTCCAACATTATCTGGGCTGAAGGTGGTGTCAGGCTGACACATGAAATTAGGCTTTAGGACATATCCACACAAACCATTTTGCAGGAATCTGCCATGGTTTAAGTCCATCTGCTCACCAGGTGTCTGGAAGTTCAGAGCAACTAGAAAGGGCACAACAGAGCAGAGTTAACAGCAACCTTCAAGAACCTTCAGCAAGACTTGTAATGGTGGTGCTGCTATAGTGTGTGTAACAAGAAGAGTACAAACTTCTTCCCTAGAATCAACAGGAAGAGTGTGAGGATGAATGCAAGCAAATGTAAAGTGGTGCTTGAAAGTTTGTGAACTTTTTATAATTTTCTGTATTTCTGCATCAATGTGACCTAAAACATCATCAGATTCCCACACAAGTCCTAAAAGTAGATAAAGAGAACCCAGTTAAACAAATGAGACAAAATATTAAACTTGATCTTTTATTTATTATTTTACTTACTTACTTATTATTATAATAATCATGTAAACATGATTGTTAAATCATGCTTCTTCCAACTGAGGCGGCTGTCTAAACTGAAGCCCATATATATTGTCCAAAAATAACCTGGAGACAGTAATACATGCATTCATTACTTCTAGGCTTGATTACTGCAATTCGCTCCTGTTTGGTATCAGTCAGACCTCCACTGCATGACTACAACTGGTCCAGAATGCAGCAGCACGATTTTTAACCAGTACAGGCAAAAGAGAGCACATTACACCAGTTTTGGCCTCACTGCACTGGTTACCGGTTCACTTTCGAATCCAGTTCAAAATACTCTTGTATGTCTACATATCGCTGAACAGTTCCCCCCCCACCCCCCCACCTCTATGATCTGCTACAACCGTATGTCCCACCGCGTTCCCTGAGGTCAGCGGACCAGTTGCTCCTCACAGTTCCAGGAGCTTGTCTTAAGTGCAGAGGTGACAGGGCCTTCTCTGTAGCAGGACCAAGACTCTGGAACAAGTCACCTCTGTTTGTCAGACAGGCCCCCTCCCTCTCGGTTTTCAAGTCCCATTTAAAAACTCACTACTATTCAGTAGCTTTTAACACCAGATGATCTGTGTTTTGATCCTGTATGCTCCACACTGGTTTGTCGTCATTATCTGCATCGTTTTTATTTCTATATTCTGATTTACTTCATTTTGTATTTTGCTTGGTGTGTTACCTGTTGTTTTGTCTGTACGGCACTTTGGTTGGCCTTGTAGCTGTTTTAAGTGCTTTATAAATAAAGTGGTATGGTATGGTATTTAGGGCAGCACGGTGGCGCAACTGGTAGAGCTGCTGCCTCTCAGCGAGCAGGTCCCTGGTTCAAACCCCGGTCCAGGGGCCTTTCTGGGTGGAGTTTGCATGTTCTCTCCGTGCATGCGTGGGTTTTCTCCGGGTACTCCGGTTTCCTCCCACAGACCAAAAACATGCATGTGAGGCTGATTGGTAACTCTAAATTGTCCCTAGGTGTGAGTGAGAGAGTGAATGGTTGTTTGTCTCGTTTGTCTCTATGTGGCCCTGCGATGGACTTGCGACCCATCCAGGGTGTACCCCGCCCCTCGCACAGTGATTGCTGGACATGGGCACCAGCGACCCCCGTGACCCAAAATGGAACAAACGGGTAAAGATAATGGATGGATGGATGGTATGGTATTTATTGAGGAATTCAGTATTACATATTTGTGATGGTAAAAGTATGTGAACCTCTAGGATTATCAGTTAATCTGAAGGTGATATTACAGTGAGGTGTTTTCAGTCAGTGGATGATGATCAGGTGTGAGTGGACACCCTGTTTGATTTAAAGAACAGGTTCTATCAAAGTCTGCTCTTCACAACATGTTGGTGAAAGTGGATCATGGAGGAACAAAGGAGATTTCTGAGGAGCTCAGAAAAAGAGTTGTTGACGCTCATCAGGCTGGAGAAGGTTACAAAACATCTGTAAAGAGTTTGGACTCCACCAATCCACATTCACACAGATTGTGAACAAATGGAGGAATTTCATGACCATTGTTACCCTCCCCAGGAGTGGTGGGCCAACAAATATCACTCCAAGGTGTGGAATAGTCTGTGAGGTCACAAAGGACCTCAGGGTAACTTCTAACAACTGAATGTCTCTCTCACATTGACTAATGTTGATGTTCATGAGTCCACCATCAGGAGAACTCTGACCAACAATGGTTCATGGCAGGGTTGAAGGAGAAAGACACTGCTCTCCAAAAACAACATGGCTGCTCATCTGCAGTTTGATAAAGATCACGTGGACAAGACAGAAGACTGTTGGAAGAATGTTTTGTGGATGGATGAGACCAAAATAAACTTTTTGGTTTAAATGAAAAGAGTTATGTTTGGAGAAAGAAAACTGCATTCCTGCAGAAGAACCTGATCCCTTCTGTGAAACATGGTGGAGGTAGTATCATGGTTTGGGCCTTTTTTGCTGCATCTGGAACAGGACGACTTGTCATCATTGATGGAACAATGAATTCTGAATTATATCGGAGAATTCTAAAGGAAGATGTTAGAACATCTGTCCATGAACTGAATCTAAGAGAAGGTGGGTCATGCACAATGACCCTAAACACACAAGTGGTTCTACCAAAGAATGTTCAAGAAGAATAAAGATCATGTTTTGGAACGGACAATATGTAATACTCGATCATTTTCTTCAATATATAAATGACCAAGTATAATATTTTTGTCTCTTGCTTAATTTGGTTGATCTACTTTGGTTGATCTATCTTGGTTGTCTTGGTATCTCTTGGTATATCTTGGTTGTTGGTTGCTGGGGAGTCGACGCACCAAGGTCCGGTGTTTTTTCTCTCTCTCTCTGGACCTCAACAAACTCTTATCTGGACCTTTGTGGTTCTACCTGGTTCCGACAAATATCGCCGGGTGGTATTTTGCTGGTTTTCTGCTGGACTGGCCCTCGTGGTGTCTTCATAGGTGTGGGGGAAGTGTACCTGTGTCCCTCGAATTGGACCAGAACCGAACCGAGGTGGCTGTGGGGATTTAGTCTTCAACAGAGCCGGTCTCAGCTTCAGTGAGCAGCCCGTTACTTTCACCGAAGGACGATCCACCTCCGTGGAGTCGTTGTGTTCACCTGGAGGAGACGCTCCGGTTCTTTGAAGCGCCGCCGGACCGGAGCAGAAACGCGCCGCCGGACTGGGCCGCCAGACCGGAGCAGAACCTGGCCAGGGATATCTTCAGCCTCTTCGTCTCTTATGCTTGGAGCGCCGGAGCCGAACTGGAGCAGAATCGGACCGGACCAGTTGCCGACTTCAGCCTCAGCCTCTCCGGTCAGTCTCGCTTTTCACCAGGGTGCCCCGTGCTGTCGGGTGCGGAGGTGACGTGCTGAGAAGCGGAGGAGCAGCGTGAAGGAGCAGGGCTGCGTGGTGCTCGAGAGAAGTTCGGAGTTTGTATCGGAGTTGCTGCAGGCCTCCATCCAAACTCACCTGATAATAATTAATTTTATTCTGGATCACGCTGTTGGCCCTTGTTGACCTAAAACGAGCTTGGACCATGCCTTTCACTTCAGGAGGATTTTCTGGCAGCTCGCTGTGCTATTTGCTGCGAATTATCTGTTTCTGTTTCGGCCTGTTGATTTTGGACCCAGCTTCTGTTTCCCATGAGAGCATCCATCCATCTTCACTGGGGGGCCGGAGCCCCCCTCAGCCCAACTCAAACTGCAGTTGGGCCAACTCGTCGTTTTTTTTTTTGCCCATTTGAACTGTGACGTTTTATGGTCTGAAACTTTTCTGCATCATTCATATTACTGTCACTATTTTCAGTTCTCAGACTATCTGGAGTCACTAAATCTTGTTAATACACCTGAATCTGTCCATCACTGTAACTTTCATTGTTTTTGGGTTCTGAATGATCGCGTCTTTATTAACTTTTCTCATGGTTCGATTATGGGGGCTATTTGTCACACTGTTAACTCCTGTAATTACACATCAGTCACAAAAAACTCAAGAAAATGTCTGATAATAATGTTGTTACTGCTCTCAGGGATTCAGCCCAACCTTGGACCCCCCACTAATTACAGCGCACCAAATGACTTTAAGAACGTGTCTGGGCTTCATTTTATGCATGTAAACGCTCGTAGCCTTCTGGGAAAACTGGATGCTTTGAAAATTCTGGTCAGTTCTTCTGGGGCAGATGTTATCTTTATTTCTGAATCCTGGCTCAACAAATCTGTAATGAATAATGACGTGGCAATCAATGGATTTAACATCTACCGCTGTGATCGTCAAAAAAGGGGGGATGGAGTCATTATTTACATTAGAGATTCTCTGGTTTCTAGTCTTGTGTCTTCTAAAACAATTCCAAACCAGTTTGAAGCCTTATCTGTAAACATCACCTTGAATGGAGGCCAGATTTTAACTGTAGTCTGCTGCTACCGCCCCCCCACAGCATCACCTGAGGCATTGACTGCCATGATGGAATTTCTTGGTAATTTAAAATTCAAAGAGATCCTTTTGGCTGGAGACCTCAACATTGATTGGTGTAAGTCGACCCCCCTCTGTGATAAATTCAAGGAATGTTGCTTGTCTCTTAATCTTACCCAACTGATCAACTCTCCCACTAGATTAAATAAAAACCGTCCTGAAAAATCCTCCATCTTAGACCTGTTTCTAACTAATATGCCTCACAAATTCCCTGGTACAGGTGTATTCGCTGATCTTTTGAGCGATCATTGTGTGACAGTTGCTTTGAGAGATATTAAACTTCCACCTTCTAAGCCCAGATTAATTCAAAAAAGGGATCTGAAACGTTTTTGTGAACAGTCATTCCTCTGGGATCTGTCTCACTTTGACTGATTCTGTTAACTGATGACGTGAACTCCGCTTGGAACTATTTTCATAATAGTTTCATTTATTTTCTGAACATACATGCTCCTTTTCGTCAGTTCAGAATAAAGGGACGAGACAGCCCCTGGTTTACTCCAGAGCTGGCTGACCTCCTGCACAGGAGAGATCATCTTTGGGCCACAGCGAGAAAATCTGACTCAGACACTGATTGGTTGAGTTTTCGACAGATTAGGAATAAATGCACAACTGCTGTCAAAGCAGCAAAACGCAACTATTTCTTATCTCAGACCTCCAAAAATCTAAATGACCCTAACAGATTCTGGAAAACCATCAA